TCAAGAGTTTTCCTTTCGTTTGGTATATGGGAAGTATTGGTTGATATCTTCTATATATGTTTATTTTATTCAAATATATGGGCATAAATGATTTTCCATACAAAATCACCTCGTCATCATTTTGCAAACACGTGCATATGTTGGAAGTGTGGGAAGGAGACAAAAAGTATGTATGCGTATGTAATGCGGCTTTTGATCGCAGCGTATGTACATATGTAAATGCATATATACGTACATATGAAAGTTTCAGTTAATGTGGATCTGTTTGGTTTTGTTATCGATATTTTTATCGATTTTGTTATCGATTTTGCTATCGATTTTGTTATCGATATTTTTATAGATTTTGTTGCCGATATTTTAATCGATTTTGCCATCGATATTTTTATCGGTTTTGTTACCGATATTTTCACCGATTTTGTTATCGAAATTTGTATCGATGTTGTTATTGATTTTGCTATCGATATTTTCGGAACTTATCGATATAATGATCGATATTTTTATCGATTTTGTAATCGATTCTGTTATTGATTTTATTATTGATTATTTATCGGTTTTGTTATCGATATTTTTCTTGATTGTTTTAACAATTTTGCTATCGATATTGTTATCGCTTTTGTTATCGATATTTTTGTCGCTTTTGTCATCAATATTTTTATCGATTTTTCTATAGATATTGTTATCGCTTTTGTTGTCGGTATTTTTATCGGTTTTTTTACCGATTTTGCTATCGATATTGCCATCGCTTTTGTTATCGATAGTTTTATCGATTTTTTTATCGAATTTATTACCGATTTTGTAATGGATTTTTTGATAGATTTTGTTATCAATTTTGTTATTGACTTTGGAATCGATTTTGTTATCGATTTTGTAATCGATTTTTCGATAGATTTTGTAATCGATTTTTTATCGATTTTGTAATCGATTTAGTTAACGATTTTGTTATCGATATTTTTATCGATTTTGTTATCGATTTTATTATCGCTTTTGTTATCGATATTTTTTTCTTAGTTTGTGCTTTCGTTTTTGACTTGGATATGCTCTTAACCATACCACGTATTCTACGTTTAAATTTAGCGGGTGTATCTCCGATACAGCCTGCAGACCAAGACGAAGGCGCTGGACTGTTCCTTTTATATATATATTTTTTTAAATAAGATTTCAAACTGTTAAAAAAATTACTATACTCAATCTTAATAAGCGAAGGTATCAGTTCTGCACCGCCAGACTTGGCCTCTAGATTTGCCATAATGTATTATTTTTTTCGAGAAGGGTTGCCAACTATTTGAAAATTATTAGATATTCACCGTTTGATGGATAACAAAACGGCACACCAAATGAAAGCCTTCCTTATACAAGGTGGCGCAAAAGTAACCTTGCGATGTTTTTTGGCTGTAATTTAAAAAAAAAATGAAAAACTTTGATTCTTCTTGTGGATTATTTTTATTTGGTCTTTTAATTTTTTTTACATCAAGTCGAGAATATGATTTCATGTAAATGGCCGCTGCCACAGTTGATTGCCATTTGAGCCCTTTTTATGGCATTTTCCATCACTTTGGCCAAAACTTCCGGCGATAGGTCCTCACATTCTTGACGGATATTGTCTTTAAGAGCTGCAAGAGTCTGAGGCTTGTTGACATAAACCCGCGACTTCAAAAAGCCCCACAAAAAGAAGTCTGGAGCGGTCAAATCAGGCGATCTTGTTGGCCAGTGCAAATCGCCAAAACGGGAGATTAGGCGCCCGGGAAATGCATCCTTCAGCATATCGGTTGTGGCACGTGCAGTGTGTGCCGTTGCACCGTCCTGTTGGAACCACATGTTTTCCAATCCCAATTCATCAAGTTGCGGCAAAAAGAACTCGTTGATCATTGCTCTGTAGCGCTCACCATTCACAGTAACCGTATAGCCCGCGACGTCTTCGAAGAAAAAAGGTCCGATGACTCCTCCAGCGAAAACAGCACTCCATACAGTGACTTTGAGCGGGTGTAATGGCTCTTCGTGGGTTACACGCGGATTTTCATTGCCCCAGAAGCGTAAATTTTGCTTATTTACGTACCCGCTAAGATGGAAATGGGCCTCATCACTCATGATTATTTTTGATGAAAAATCATCTTCCTCTTGGTGGCATATCAATATCAGCAATATTACGCGTTCTGGAGCAGTGTAGCGTAACATTGTTTATTAACGTGTATTTCGCATGTGTTTACTACACAAATGTCAAAACAGAACTGACATTAGGGGCCAATCGCAAAATTTATAGCATTTTCTGATAGGAGGATTACTTTACATTGTACATAATATAAAGGCAAGACGAGATTTTTCGAACACGCTAATCTCGAAACGTGAGATGTCAAGTGAAAGGCTTTGGCCTCCAGATGTACAGTAATGTATTTTTTTCTTTAGTAGGGCTGCCACATTTTTATAAATTACAACATCTTCACCATTCGTTGGACTTCAAAGAATTTTTAAAAAACATTTATAAATTTTAGTCTGATGATAGTTTCATTATAGATCCTACTTTCTCGTATTAAAAAAACTTTTTTTTGTATATAGGCTGGCCTCATATATATGTATGTATGTACATTAGGATGGTCCAAAATAAAAGTTTGAAATTTTGTCTTAATGGAAAAAGAATATCTGCACTTTGTTGTTAAAAAAAAATTATATGTATAACTGCCTCAATGAAAGGCTAAATGTATTTTATATGATATGATGAGATCCGACAAAGGCACGGCCTTCGCCCCTTCTGTTTAATGGATGAAATCTACTTTGTATGAAATTTAACATGTTAGGTAATATTTCGCGGGTGGGTTGCCTGACAAATCCTTGGCAGGATATTTTTAATTAAATATTCAAAAATAATTTTTTTATCTAATTTTGCACTCAATTATTTAATGCACCAATTACATTTATACCAATCGAAAGCATAAAGCCTGTGGAATGTGTTAAGTAGATGAGTGAAAATTACTAATAAATATTACTTACCTGACCATACCTGCCAAACCGATAGGTAGCCCAGGAAGAAAATAGACAACCCAACGTTTTCACATTTTATGGGCTTAATACTTTCGATTGGTAAATAAATTGTTCATTAAACCAAAGAGTACAAAATTAAAACAAAATAATACGAATTTTCGAATATTTAATTAAAAATATCCCGGCCAGAATTTTGCCAGCCCACTCACTCGCAAAATATTTACTAACACGATAAATTTCATAGAAAAAATATTACATCCACTAAACAGATGGGTTAAGGTCGTGGCTTTGTCGGATCTTAGACTAATAAGTCTTCAAAATAAATATCTTTCGATCGGTTTGTCATCAGGAGACCTCCAATAATAATGCACAATTTTTTAATTTTATGATTTTTTAATAAAAATAATAATAAAATAACAGAGTAAGAGTGGCGCTTAGACAATAGGTTAGTGCTTGGCCGATCTTCTCCTCGATTTGTGGCGTGCGCCTTGATGTTGTCACACAAAGGTGGGGGATCTACAGTTTTACGCCGACTACGATTGGCGATTGTATTTTTATGATAAACTGATTTTCATGGCATAATATAAAGAATACACTCGGAGGTCTGCCATTGCCTAGCAAAGGTCGACCGCTATTAGATTTTTTTCTTTTTTCATTTTAATACGCACGATTTTTTATGGGTCCTGCCATTGCTTTTTGAAGTTTTCTAGGGCATCCAATAAAAAGCAGCTGGTATTAAATAATGGTTAAATAAATTATTGGGTATTGTTAATTGGAAGTCTTCCAAAGAGAAAAAGAGTTTTCCGATCGCAAAATTTTGCTTTTAAACATTCTATAGCACTTCTACAAAAAACATTGGTATTTTTCCATTTAGAAAAATCCTAGGGAGTGAAAGCTTAACATTGTAAACCTTTTTCACTGGCATGTCTTTTTGGACCACCCTAATGTACATACTTCTCAATGCGACTGCTCTGAGTCTCCATGCGTCTATATATTTCTGCCGCTGAAAAGTAATAATAATAAATTCAACTAATTGCATTTTTATAGCAAAACTTTGCATCATAAATAAATGGGTTGACGAGTTGACGACAGCGTGAAAATACCACGGTTCATACGCACCCAATATAGCACCTAGTGTATGTATGTATGTACATATATCAAAATGAAAACCAGAAAATTATAAGCAACCAGAAGTGAAAGTGAAAAACGGCAACATTTGGCGCTGGATGCCTTTTGCGTCACGCTCTACATACAACACCTATACAAAATATGTATGAATGTAAAAATGTATAAATGTATGTGTGTATGTAATATGTCTTACTGGGCTCTAACTGGCAACTGCACATCTTAATTTACGTGCAACGTCCTCATTAAAAGTGAAAGTTTATTTAAATTAATGCAGCGTGAACACGCCTTCAAGTATGCCATAAAATATCCAAAGAAATTCTTACTTCTTTTTGGGTTGAGGGCGGGTGAAAGGGGCGACGTCGAAAATAAATCCATAAAATATGAAGACTTTACACCTGGGTCGCTTATTTTTCTTTCTCTTTCTCTTTCTTTCTACTCACTTTCTTATTGTATATATATAAGTTTCTTAATTTACGTACCTTAGCCAGCAAAGTTTATTTATTTTCACATTAAAAAGACGCAATATTAAGTTGAGACCATCAAAATCGTTCACATTGATTGAAGGGCTGTAATTACAAAAATATGTAAGCATGTAGATATGTATGTGTGTACAGAACTAAAAACATATGGCACAAAAACTTTAAAATGATGGTGACACGGCATCGCAGTTCATGTGTGGGGCGATTAAAAATTGCATGGTTTGAACGGCAAGGATAAAAATGAGATATGAAATTATTTTTCCAATTTAATGTATCCTCCTGCTAATTACACTGCAGGGAGAATCTCAAGTTTTGAAATGACACAGAAAAACGTCGAAACACGTAAACTTAATTTTGAGTCATTTTTCCAGATCAGATCATTTTCACAAGATATTTAAATTTTTATAAAAAAAAATCACACACACACTAAAGTCTGTTTTTTTCTTTTCCCAAGAAGAGGAAGTTACTAGCGATGTAAACCGATGCATAAGTAAACACGTTTTGATTGGTCAAATGAAAGTGTCCAAAAATTCTTTGTATGAAATAGCAGCAGGAAATATTATTACTCGCACGCCATATCGTATATAGCCGCAGTCGTGCATGGTATGGTTATGGGTAACATTTTCCAGTTTGAAATTTTTTCATTCGCAATGCAAACTTAAAATGAAAATATCTTGGGAAAATTACCTGATCTAGAAAAACGGCAAACAGATGCGTAATCTACGACGCAAAATTAAGTTTACGTGTCTCGGCGTTTTTGACGTAGAATACGTCTTACCTTAAGGTATGGGGGCTATGTTCAAATGTTGTAGTTGTAATTTTTAGAGCTTCACAAAAACGCTTATTGC